AAACAAAACAGACATGTGATCTGCCTGCATAGAGCTTAAAGTGTGTGAGGGATGCTGTCCATAATGGATTTGAAACAAAAGGACTGATAATGACTTCACAGAAAACACGAGGGAAGACTAGCATTGATATAATGTTGTGAGTCTCCCAGAGATGTCCACATTCAAATTCCCAGAACCTGTGAATATGTTACCTGACATGGCAAGAGTAATTTTGCAGATGTAATTAAGGTTAAGGGTCTTCAGATGGGACGATTATCCTGGATAATCTGGGTGGGTCCTACTAATCACATGAGTCCTAAAAAGAAGAGAATTTTTCCAAGGTGTGGTCAGAGAAAGAGAGATGAGGTTGGAAACAGGGTCAGAGAAACGTGACCTTGCTGCCTTACAAGATGGAGGCAGAGGACCATGAGGCAAGGAATGAGGGTGACCTCTAGAAACTGGAAAAGGCAAAAACAATGGACTCTTCCCTAGAGACTCCAGAAAACAATGCATTCCTCCAACACTTTGATTTTTACTCCAGTGAGGCCCAGGTCAGACTTGATTACAGAGCTGAAAGATTTAAATTTGTGTGGTTTAAGACACTAAGTGTGTGGTAATTTGTTACAGCAGCAATAGAAAACTAACCAAACATACATACATATGTATCCACTCATAAATTTAACAGGACAGTATATATTAGGGCAAACATATGAGAGGTGACAATGTGCTAGCAGCCCTCACTCTCAGCACCTCCTCAGCCTCCACAACCACCTGGCAGCGCTTGAGGAGCCCTTCAGTCCACCATGGCACCATGGGAGCCCCTCTCTGGGCTGGCTGAGGCTGGACCCGCCTCCCTCTGCTTGCAGGGAAGTGTGGAGGAAGAGGCACCAGCGGGAACCGCCGCTGCAAGCAGGGTGCTCGCAGGCCAGTGTGAGTCCCCGCGGGCGTGGTTGTGAGGGCGGGCACAGGCTAGGCGGGCTGGCACTGCACTCAAATTCTTGGGGGGCCTTAGCTGCCTCCCTGCCTGGCAGGGTTCAGGACTGGCGGGCAGCTCCGCCTGCAGCCCTGGTGCAGGATCCACTAGGTGAAGCCACTACGCTCCCGAGCTGGATGGGGACTTCGAGAACTTTTATATCTAGCTGCAGGATTGTATGTGCACCAATCAGCACTCTGTATCTAGCTAACCTAGTGGGGACTTGGAGAACTTTTCGGTCTAGCACTCTGTGTCTAGCTCAAGGAATGTAAGTAAACACACCAATCAGCACTCTGTCAAAACGGACCAATCAGCTCTCTGTAAAATAGACCAATCAACTCTTTGTAAAATGGACAAATCAGCAGGATGTGGGTGGGGCCAGATAAGGGAATAAAAGCAGGCTGCCCAAGCCAGCCAGCAGCAACCTGCTGGGGTGCCCTTCCACAGTGTGGAAGCTTTGTTCTATCAGTCTTTGCAATAAATCTTGCTGCTGCTCACTCTTTGACTCCACGCTGCCTTTATGAGCTATAACAGGCAGCTGTAACACTCACCGCGAAGGTCTGCAGCTTCACTCCTGAAGCCAATGAGACCACAACCCACTGGGAAGAACAAACAACTCCAGACATGCTGCCTTTAAGAGTTGTAACACTCACCGTGAAGGTCTGCAGCTTCACTCCTGACAGCGAGACCACGAACCCACCAGAAGGAAGTAGCTCCAGACACATCTAAATGTCTGAAGGAGCAAATTCCGGACACAACATCTTTAAGAACTGTAACACCCACCGCGAGGGTCCGCGGCTTCATTCTTGAAGCCAGTGAGACCAAGAACCCACCAATTCCAGACACAACATACATCATCAATAGTGTTAAGTGGTTGTCTGTCTTGTCTGTTATAGACCCATCTGGTCTCATTTATTACTAATTTCTTCCTACTGTGACAAGACGTTGACCTTATTGAATGTTGAAATTCTATTTTAGAAAATGATCAAGACTTGCTGATCTGTTTAAGGAAGTGAATTTATTTAGAATCAGAGGAGTCATGGTTGTGTGGACTGAGCCTGAGACAAACATAAGCTGCATTCATTTCTCACTGCTGAACTGCTCTGGCTGGACGCAATAGACTTGCAAAATTTAAGCCAATCTCTGAAGTCTCCTTCAGCTAAAAGATTCACAGGTTTTGATGAATTAATCACTTTCAGTTTTTGTGCTTATCATCAAGCATTTACTCCATCAGCACAGCTCAATTACAAAAGCTACTGACTGATCTGAAAAACAACTGGGTCCACCAAAGGAGACACAGTATTCCTTAAAGTAGAAAGATGAGAACTTAAGTGCTAGAGCCATCTCAAGTCTTTGAGCAAACGCTGAGCAAGGTTTGAGTTTGGCTAGTTCCAGAAAAATGCATTCCCTTTCAGTAAAACTGATGCAACAGCTATAAAGAAGCAGTATTTGTGATAGAAACCTGGAGTGGCAGTAAACCTGGGGATGAGATCTCGTAATACACTCCACAGTTTTCCAGGTTGGTTCCTGCTACTTAATTCCAATATTCATTAGCTCAGTTCAATTTGCTTAGTTTAAGAAAACCATAAAATCACCACTATTTTGATGTGATATGTGTTTATTATATACAGGGCCAGTTTCAGGGGCCTGCTACTGCACACAGGATCCCAATTTTAGACAGGGTCCCAAGCTTGGGTTTTCATGCTATGCTACCACACTATTGAAATTTTTAACAATTTTACCTTTGAATCTGTGTAGTCCAATGCGGCAATGAAGCACATGTCTTGGCTCACATGCAGTCCTACCTCCAAGTGACTTCCTGGGATAGTTCCTCAGACAGTTCTCCCACCCAGTGATTACTGCCGCCCTTTATTCCTTGTGGGGGCCTTGGCACACCCTGGGGTAGGTCAGGGTCATTTGGTGGAGCCACAGACGTCTGTGAGGGTCTGCAATCACTTTATAAGTACCTCTATACTCTAGAAATCTAACATTAAATAGCAAATAAAAATAATCTTTCATAGGTCACTAGAGACTGTGTAAGAAAGCTACAGTTCCATTCCCCTGCTTTTTGAACAAGAAGCCTGACATTTTCATTTTGCACTAGGCCCCACAAATTACGTGGCCAACCTTATGTATGTGGGTAAGTGTGCACATGTGTGTATATCTGAGTTTGTATCTACAAAGAATAAAATAACTTTCTATTTATCCATTTTAGATAAACTGAACTTGTAACTTTGTAATTTCTAGAGAAAATAAATGTATCTATAACTTTACAGTATTTTATCTGTGAAGATGAGAATAATAATTGTAATAGTTTACAGATCATGGGAGAAGGCATTCCAATACAATATTATTTTCTGAGTTTTTTATGACTGATGAATTACCTTGAAAAATATTTAAGAATATATGATATGCTAAAATTGGGGATATTCTAGCTTCAGGCATTCTGGCAGCAGGACATGACATTACTAAAATTTTCTTATTAAAGAAATCTACCTTACAACTTTGATTTATTGACAGGTGAGAGATTTCTGGTCAAGGAGCAAAGTCATCAAATATTAAGAGTATGAAGATACATCAAATGTGTTGAAGGGTCCTCAAAATGCACCAAATAATTTTAGTGCGTTTCAGTTATTCACACAAAGTACTTATATTGAACAATCTCAAATATCTTAAATTCATACCCAAAAAGTCACACGCTTTGTAACTAATCATTCTCAAAACATACCTACGTGAGTCTTGAATTCTTCCATTTATGATAATGCAGATGAACAAAATATTCCTATTATAACTTTCATTTTGTTTAGCTCTATTATTTAAGGAATCTTCATAATCAACATATAACTGACAACATATTCAAGATTTTTCTCTTCACTTTATAAATGTTACCAAGATTTGAGGGCAACAATAGTTATAGACATTCCATAGAGAAGAGACATATATTTCACATATATATGTATGTATACAATGAAACAAAATGGATTTTGAAACAAATATTTTTGCCCTAAATTTAGACATTTCCAATATTT